CTTAAAAGTATAGTCGGGCATGGTGGCACATACCTTTAATTCCAGTACTTGGGAGGCAGAGGTAGGTGGATCTCTGTGAGCTGAAAGCCATCCTGGTTTACACAGCAAATTCTAGGCCAGCTGGGGCTACAGGGAGACCTTGTCTCAAAAAGACATAAACAAATAAATAAATAAATAAACAAACAAACAAATAACTTAAAAGTGGATCCATCTTGCTTCTTTGGCACAATAAAAAGTAGGATGCACATATCTGTGGTAGAGTTTATATTCCAGATTTATTCTCTAAACACAGCCTTACTGTCTGGTGGTTTCCATAATCACTCTGCCTCTAGCCCAAGCCCCACGAAAAGCAGAACTGAGTTATGTGCAAGGAAGCCACGATACCGTCCATCTCACTGTTAATCCCAGTGTCTATAGTGGGCCAGTGAATAAGAGAATAACTCCTTCATAGATTTCTCAGTCAAGCTTTCATAAAGACTGACAGAAAATAAATCAAAGCTAGACTGTTCAGAGTGCCTCTGGCCTCTGAGCCATGTTCATCTGAAGAAGAGCTGTTGGCACAATACTCGTTCACCTAAATGGAAAGTGCCCACTATGACCATGATCTCAGCAGCTGGATTATTCCTAACCTAAGGCAGATCAATGGGATTGACTCCATTGATCTTTCTAGTAGAAAACACATCCCCTTTGCCCGTGTTCAAGCCTAGCCCTGCTGCTCACTGACCATAATAACAGAGTGGGCAAGAATGGCTCTACCTTGGAACTATCTACCCCACTCCAACCCCCACTTTTCAAGGTTCTTGTTCAAGAGGCCTCATAATATTCCACATCTGTTGGGCTGAGAAATGTTTCTCAACTGACCTCTGGACAAGAAGGTCCCGTTCTTTCTCCCCACAGTGAAAGGCCTGCTTCACACAACCACCACATGTTGTCAGTCACAATTTCCAGAGAGAAAGACCTACGGAAATAATTCATGCCAAGCACCTTCCAAATACATTTGTTTCTTTCACAAGATAAACAGGAGCAAAACACTAAAAACCGACCCTGACTGTCATGACGGATGCCTGGGAACAGAGCTGTGCAAATGTGTTCGGGTTGCTCCTCTCTTCCCCTTGAGTGGCCTGCTTGTGTCACTGCCCTCAGACAAAGGAAGCAATTGCCCCCAGAACACTTCACCCTCACAGCAGAGCTTTTGTGTACTGTCGGTGACCATTAAAATCCCATTCTCAAATCCTGCACAGCTGTTTTCTCCTCCTCTTAAGAAAAAAAAAATATGAAAAAGCTTTTCTGATGCAAAAGGGTAGAAACCAGCAGGATGAGGATTAATGGGCACAAAGAGACCTAAAGGCTTGCCCTCTTTTCAGGGCCCTGGCCTTTGAGTATTCCAGGGTATGGACAAACACTATGGTCTCTCAGTGGCTAAGAGGGTGGACCTAATAAAAGGGGTCACTCTCCAGAATCTCTGTTTTCTTAAGAACTGAGCCTTGACTTCTGAAAGAGAGCCACAAGCAGCCCACGCGGATTCCCAGGGTGTCCTGGGGAGGTTGCTTTGTTCCAGCTCAGAGGGAATAGAGTCCCAAGGCAGCACTGTGGCCTCTGGATTCTGTCTGAGCTTTCTTTAAAGAGGTGCCCCAGGATAACAGGGGACAGCACCACTTGGGCTGAGAGATTGCTTTTTCATTGTTTGTCCAAAGTTTGGTGTGTGCTCAGGGCTGCTATTTGAAAACATCCTCTTAGTTGAAGCAGAGAAATGAGCCCAGCAGGATGGTACCCTTGCTGGGGACACAGTGTGTGCTATGTTCTCTTCATGCCTAGTTAAGTGGAGCTGAAATTTCACTTCCTTTAGAGTGACTTTGGTGGGGGGGTGTTGAGACAGGGTCTCCCTGTAGTCCCAGATGATCTGGCACTCCCTATGTAGACCAGGCTGGCCTCAAACTCATAGAGATCCACCTGCCTCTGCCTCCTAAGTGCTGGGACTAAAGGTGTGTGTCATCATGCCCAGCTTAGAGTGACTTTTTTGCTCTCAATTTAAGTGTTTTCCCCAAAGACTTGCCCTTTGCCCTCTTGGTATGTTGCTGTATGTCCTTGCAGTTTCTTTCTTTTTACATCTTATTATTTTGTGTGTGTGTGTGTGTGTGTGTGTGTGTGTGTGTGTACACGCACGCGTGCAGCTCAGAAGACTGCTAGTGGGAATCAGTTCTCTCCTTATACCACGTAGGTCCCCGGGATCAAACTCAGGTCATCAGGCTTGGTGGCAGTCCCTTTTACCCGCTGAGCCATCTCTCTAGCTCAGTCTTTGGGGTGTCATCACCTGGGGTTCCTGTGAAGATTCTTTCACTCCTTCATTCAGTAATGATACCAAGCAGGTATCAGTAATGATACAAGCAGGGGCTGTGTGCTGCTGCTGTTCCAGAAACTGGAGACACAGCTGGGAGGTGACAGACGTGGCCTTACCCTAATAGGAGTTCTTGTGGAGAGTACGAACAATAAATTGGCAAACAAATAACGGTG